AAATTGCTCTAGTAAATTTTTTTTTTCTAAATTCTGATTATTTTGTATTTTATTTGTTTTTGGGCCTATTAGCTATCACTTGCAAATTTGATAAGGATTCCCTCTTTTTCATTCAAGTAATAAATTACTGAAGAGTACACAGTTTAGGACTGTTCCTTGTGGCACCCCACTCAGTTTATCTTTTCAGTCTGATGAGAACCAATGATGAGTACTCAATACAATTTTCATGCATTCACTTCACTTCCATGTCATCCACTCATACTTAACTAGCTTTCTAATCAGCATGTCATAGGTACTTTGTCAAGTGTTTTGCTGGCATTCCCACAATCTATTAAGATAAGGTTACAGTAGTCTAGCAAGATTTGTTTTTGACAAAACCAAGCTGACTTTGGACAATTACCTTTTTTTTTTTTTAATTCTTATAGAGCAATATCGCTATGATCTCTAAAATCTTCTCAGGTGATGATGTCATACTGACCAGTCTACAATTTGCTAGATTTTCCTTTTCCCCTTTTTCAAAGAAAGGGATAATACCAGTCATCTGACAGGATTTCTCAGAGATAATACATTCAGCCAGACCATCAGTACCCTACGGTGCAATTCATCTGCCCTTTAAGATTTAACAAGATTTCATGACAGCAGTCCATCATGCGCACCTTCTCAATAGCGGTCCCTGGCCTTTGGAGCATCCCCTGAGATCTAGAAGGCCCCTCCCCTCCTAGCTTTCAAGAGCCCTGAACATCTGGCTTTTCCCACAAGTCCTGGGATAGTGTGTGGCTGAAGCCAGTAAAGTTGTTTTGTAGATGTAAGGGGTGTGTTGTTTTGGGGGGCGGTAGGAGTGTTTATACTGGTTTTTATGTTTTTTATTTTTTTTATCATTGTAAGCTTCCCAGGGTTATGCTTTGTAAGATGGGTGGCTATATAAATCTTTTAAATAACGCAAATAAATAACTCATAAGGAAAATGTAGGGTCTATATTTGTTTGAATGTTATATTCATAATTTGTTTGAATGTTATATTCATAATTTGTAGTGATATCGTTGTCACTGTTCTTTACAATATCTTATGTCCCCACATTTATTAGAAGGAACAGATCATTTTCAATGGCCTTGATCAAATTTTGGAAGTTGTTTTGTCCATCCCTGGGAGACAGCATTTCATGAGGCAATGAGTCCAGTCAGTATACTTTGTTTCAGTTCTCATAGTAGCGTGTCATCAACTACCATGACTCTTCCCTTTGCCTTACGTGGCACAGCTGCATCCTTTCTGCCATTTAGGAATCCACTGCTCTGTCTCCCATCCTTTAATGCCTCTCTTTTCTTCCACTGAATGCTCAGAGTGTAATTTATTTTCATGAACCTGATTTTTTTTTTTTAGTTTTGGGCAGGCCAAATATCTTCTACATTTCTTGCTTTGGGATGTTACTGTTATCCACTGGCTTTGCTTCTTTGTTTTTTTTTATGTTTTCACCATCCATTTCTGCTGTAGATCTCTCTTTCTTTGAACTGATAAATCTTTATCCTTTCTTATCACTGAAGTGTGGCCATTCACTGCTCTAATCCTTTCTTTTCTTTTTTTCAAAGATTGCTATGAGCCGCCCAGAGTCATCTGTTGGGGGGAGATGGGTGGCATACAAATGTATAAATAAATAAATAAATAAATAGATAGATAGATAGATAGATAGATAGATAGATAGATAGATAGATAGTATGGCACTTTTATTTCCCAAGTTTCAATAAAATGCCAAT